GGCTGCTAGGCGGTGCTTTCAGTCCAGGCTGGTCACCCTTTGTTTAAATGTTTTACCTGAATGTGGGGCGACTGCACCACCATATGGCTCACGGCAGGTTTACCCTTAATTGTTTGACAGGTTAGAAATGCTGGGAACCCAACTGCTCATTGTGAAACTCAGTGTCTGGATATTTACCTTGTTTGAAACAATAAAGAATAAATCAACTTGATACTATTGTGCACTAGAATTGCATTATAAAAATAAACAACAAAAAAAAGCCATTCAAGTGGAAATTCAGCGACACTGTCTTTAAAAAAAGCTTCAGAAAGACATTCTGTGTTTTTGAATGATAAGAAAATGTTATATTTGTCATATATAGTTTTTTGTAACAACCTGACATCGGTCGTAAAAATATGATGCCTACATTGAATGTAAAGAATCACATTAAAGCACAGAGGTTTCCACCACCATCCAGAAAATATGTAGTAATATCTGCACTTGTTTGTGTGCCCTTGAATAAATAAAAATAAAACAACATTGGCATTCATATTTATAAATGTATATAGTGAAGAAATAGCAAAAGCAAAAAAGACTGTTTGAATACATTATATCATTTGTGAGAAGAACAGAATGGAATATTTCATTGTAAACCTTAGTAAGGCCTTGACACGAAGTATAAATATTCAGCTTTAAGTTCAACGCAAGAGTTTGCATTGCGGCAGAAGGTAGATGGACGGTTTTGAAAAAAGCATGGTGACCAGAGATCCACCTACCCTCCAAAGCCTCTGTGGTAAAAATATTAATGTAGAGGGTTCTATTTTCTAAATGCTAAAGTGGCAAACAGTTTCATGTCACAGATTTCATTCAGACATTTTGTTCATCATCATTTTCTTGTGAGGCTCCAGTGGCATCATGCCAAGCAGGTCAGACCAAATTGCTTTTTCTATGGCCGTGGACTCCAGCTCGTTCTGGGGGATCCCGAGCCAGCTGGGACGTACAACCCCGCCTGGGTGTCCTTGGTCTGCCCCGGGGGCCTCTGTCCAGTGGGACACGCCTGGAACAGCTCCCTAGGGAGCTGACCAGGTGGCGTCTTTATAAGATGCCCAAACCGCATCAGTCAAAGTCAGCTTTATTGATGCAGTGGGTTCTCCTAGCATCTCACCCAGTAATAGTAATATGAAATAGAATGGAATAAAAACATAAAATTAAAAAATAGTGAAACAATTAGTTTCTCGAGTAACATGCAAGAGTCATATCGGCTCCTCTCGATCCAAAAGAGCAGTGGCTATATTTCAAGGTCCCTATGCATCTCTAATCTCCTCGTCCTATCACATACAGTGAATCCAGCAACCCTGCAGAGCAACCTGATTTTGGCTACTTGCATTTGCAACCATCTTTTTTAAGTCATTACCCACAGGTCAGGATCAGCTGTGGATCAGGACATAGCTTGGCTGTAAAACCACAAGCTTTGTCTTACTCCTTAACTCCCGCTCTAGCACCACAGACCTCCCCAGTACCCACAAAACCACAGTCACTGAACCGATCTGTCAATCTCATGTTCCCTTTTACCAGCACTCGTGAACAAGATCCCGAGATACTTAAACTCCATCAGGGCAGAGCCTCCCCACTCACCTGAAAGGAGCAATTTGCTCTTTTCCGAGAGCACCAGAGCCTCGGATTTGGATCTGACTCTAATCCCAGCTGCTTCACACTCAGCATCGAATCAAGTGTGTTGGGGGTGTTGGCGGGATAAGGCCAGAACTATGACTTCATCTGCAAATAGCAGGGATGTCATTTCTAGCCCCCAAAACCAGGCCCCCTTCCAGCCACCACTGTGTTTTGGTATCCTACTCGAGATAATAGCAAACAGTCCTGGAGAAAAGACGCACCCTTGACAGAGGCCGACTCCAAACCGTTTACATTTCCGCCCAGTACGTGGACGTGACTCTCGCTGCATTTGTAAAGAACCAAATAGCAGACCTTAGCAGCACCAGTACCCTGTATTTCCACAAATAAGAAACACGGTCATTTGTCGCTTGCGTATAATTCCGGGTGCTAAGGCAAATGTGTTTTTATAAGCAATAGGCCTCAAAGAAATACAGCAAGCACAAAAAATGTTTGTCAGCTTGAAAGAAACTTGTAATGCAATATTTTCCCTATGTTACTGTCATTATCCATCAATAGACAAATATTTTAGGAAGACCAAAGGCGGCTCTGAGTATATATATAAATTCCTATTTTTGCAATTTAGTCAGGGAAAGCTAAACGAATAAGACAATTTTAATAATAGAAAAACACAGGAAAAACAAGTGCATTCAACTGATTTCCATGAAGGGTCACAATGAGCCCGGGGCACGCCCCAGTTGGCATGCCAGTCCATCACAGGGCATACATACCCTCTCACATCACAGGGCACACTTACCCTCACACATCACAGGGCACACTTACCCTCACACATCACAGGGCACACATACCCTCACACATCACAGGGCACACATGCCCTCTCACATCACAGGGCACACATACCCTCTCACACACATAATCTTATGCCATGGGAAATGTAGAGACACAAATTCCGCTAACCCCAATGATTCTGACCTGCAGTACCCAGGAGAAAAACCTGCACAATCACAAGCAGTATAATCCACCCACACACAGGTAAAGCTGGGAGCCCCCACCACCCTGAAAGTCTGTAGCCATGATGCTGACCAATATGCCACCAAGTATAGTATAGTATAGTATAGTACAGATACTCTTCCTGGGTTACGATGGGGTTACCTTCTGACAAAATGCATTTTAATACAGTACACCTAACCTAACAAACATCATAGCCTAACCTAGTGTACCTAAAACATGCTTAGAACACTTAGGTTAGCCCACAGTTGGGCAAAATCATTATCACAAACCCTATTTAATAATTAAGTGTTGAATGTCTCATGTAGTTTATTTTATAATGTACTGAAACTGAAAAACAGAATTGGAATACCCATCGTAAAGTCAAAATATCATAACTGGGGAGTGTTTGAGTAGTATAGTATAGTATAGCATAGCATAGCATAGTATAGTAATGACATAAGACAAATTTCAATATGTCTAAATTTCAGCCTGCAATGCAACAGAATGGTTGAATTGATGGGTGAATTTTTCTTACCGACATTTTCACCTTTGGGCATTTTTCTATGGTTCTATAAAACAGAGTTATAAAAATTTATACCGTTCTTAGACGATATAAAAGATCCCTGATAGGTATGATATCTGTGAGCAGCAGAAGCACATACATCTCAAGCTAAGCAGCCTGTCAGTCAGAAAATATATTAATTATGTGCCGGAAACAGACTAATGAGGAGACAGAGGACCAAGATAACAAAGATTATCAGCCATGACAAACGATTGTGTTACCTGAAATTCCTTCTGGACTTCTGATGCTGTTGTCATCTGTTTTGATTTTAATTTTGATTTTTTAAAAATAGAAACCTATAAGATCCTTTTGAGTTAATCTCTCATGCGACAAGGGTGCATAGGGCCCCTAATCTCAGGCCACCTCCAAAAAACACCAACACATTTAAATCCCCAATTTTGCAATGAACAACAATTTCAGAGACAAAGGATTAGCAGTAAACACTCTGGCAGTATGACTCTGATGTATCGCCTCTGTATTCTGAACATCCAGGATGTACCAGTGTTACCACTTTTTATCTTGGTTACATTGTATCATGGAGACAACAGAAATAAATGTGTTTTTCCTCGGATTCCTTTTTGCTGCCAGTTTCCATGTGTGAATCTTAATTACAGTATTATTCATGGTTTTGGGTTCTGGCCCTCAGCCCGCATCTTGGAGCTGCAACGTGAACCTCCGCAGTCACCCCCTCTATTACCTGCGGATTACTGTGTCACATACCTGCCATTGTGCTCTCCCAATCGCCCATGGTAATCCTCTGCTCCATAAACAGACTGGGCCTGTAAAAGCTGCTGTTTTGCCTCATATCGTACCACTGCAGGTGAAAAGTCGAACGACGCAAACGCGGCTGTTTCAAGGTGGCCGGTGCTGTGAATTACGGGCTTCTTCCTGCTTCTTCAGCTAACCAGAGCCATTAAAGACTTACGCGCACATGCTATTCCATCACACATTTCTCACATTAATTTACAAAATACCTGAGCATTTGCTATTCCCTAAATAACAGAAAATCATTGTCTATGCTAAGAATATGGCCAACTTCCTTAATAAAGCAGGGTAATAAGTTAATGCCTTATTTCTAGTTTTTGCCCATAATTTTTTAGTATAGGTTGTTCAAGATTCACCAGATGCTGCTTTTTTGGTAGAGATTATAGGAAATAATGACCTATATTTTTTTACGCAAGGATCTGTAAAATGTTGGGTAATATTTTACTTGAGGGGGCACAAGTAACTTAGTCACTCAATTACCACTCAAGTACAAATCATGAGTAAACACTAACTGAAATACATGAACCGTTATGATTGATTAATGATGAATGAACATGGGATCAGTATGTATAACTAATACTTAATTTCTGGGTAATTAATACATTAAGTTAGAGTATATTACTACATTATTTGCGCTCACTCAAGTGTTACCAAATGTTTTTTAGTCATGGTGCCTTATTACAAATCTTCAGTACTAATTCACACATATTATTTGTGCATTAATTCAACATTCATAAATACGTTTTTTTGCAAAAAGCTGATTGACACCTTGCTCAAGAAAGAACTAACGTGTCCTCTGCTTCCTGTCATTCATGATACAATCCCTGCCGAAGGAAGCATTGTAGGCTACACCAGAAGTCTACCTTCAATTATTGTCTGCTTCAGGCAAAATGTGTTTCAAGAAAAAGCCGGCTTTCCTTTGGAACTGGAGCTGTATACAGTGTGCTCGTTGAACGGCTCACTATAAATGTTAAGGCTACTTTAAGCTATGGGAAGAATTACACCTTTTTCTTTTATTGTGTCAACAAAGGACAGATCAGTCAGTGAACAGATGTGGCTTATATTGTGCACTTTAATGAAAAAAATGGGTATGGGGCATACGGTATTGTATAATATTACATTTGTTAATTTGGTTTAGTTTTTGCTAAACCTTCCCATTTTATTATTTCCGTGGATGTGTTCTGTGAATGATGCTGCATTTGCTTTGGCTGATTGTCTCCTATTTCACCTTCCTCAGTCAGCTTCAGCCTTGATATGCCTTCATCCATCTACTTGAAGGTAAAAAAAAAAAATTAATAAAATCAGTGTAAAACACATGCATTTTCTTCCCAATTCAGAAATCTCTTGATACTGCTCTGCATACTCCCACACACTTCGACAGCATTTATGCTGAAAATTAAATCACGCACAGCTATCCTGCCAGATCTCTTCTGCGCAAAAGACTCTCGGTAACCTTTTTTTTTTTTACCTGCCAGTCGTTCTGTGTGCCGTCAGGAGAGTTTGAACAAACTTGGCCTGAAACGAGGTTGGCGTGAGCGACAGCTGTACGAGATGTACGAGACAGGGTGGTCAGGATGCGGAGACGGAGTCAGAAACGATCCTGCCGGACGATGACTAAACAATGGCAGCGGCCCATGGGAACATATCTAAAAGCTATAAATCCGGGAGGACGTGGGCTGCGGTGCGTCTGTCACCATCGCTGAGGCAGTCCGTACATCCCACCCGAGAATTCAGCAAACATCGTCCACACGGGACACCCCTCAGCTGGAGGAAGTGTCTCTGCAGATGAAATTTCGCCTCACATCTCCTGAAAAAAAATCGGAAGGAAGCATGGCGTTACACGTGACTCATTAAAAGAGTTTGCCGACATCTTTCAAGTGCCAGTAAACGTCCATTAAACTAGCAACGGTACCGCAAAGAAAGCTGGTCTGGCCTGAGGCGGTGAATCCTTAGTGTGATTTTGGAAGCCATTTGATGTGCTTCATTGTGGCACATATTTACACAAATGTACAGAAGTGCAGCTCTGATGCTCACCTTGTTTTCCGGAAATAACTCGTGGTTTTGATTAATGACCTCAGAGGCACATATGCTGAACCTCAAAATGGTCACATTACTGTGTATTCAGATGCCTGAAAGGCTAAATCTTACATTGATACATTGACAAAATAAATATGTTACTCTGTTTTTGATGGGATAATGTTATAATGCCATTCACCCTTGACTGAAAAAAATCCAATTACCACATTACCTCACTGAATCATATTCCCATTATGGAAGAATTCCAAGTTTCTCATTTACTAAGCATACAGCTGCAGTTAATAACAGAAAACCAATTTATCTGAACCATAATGTTCTTGACAAGGTGTATGTAATGTTACATGTTCTAATTTCTAATTCACATTGTACTTCATAGGCGGGTCATTAACCCCGGACCCGGGACCTCCCTGTGTATGCTGGCCCCCATTGGTCTGTTTGTTTAGCCTTGGGTTGTGCTGCTACACCATTTTGGTCTATATCCTCCTGAGACCCCACCCATTCAATTATGTCCATTGTAGGGGACATTTTGTTTCTGCATCTATCTTTTCACTGATGTAAGGAAACATATTTATTCCTGTTCTACACTAAAGAGGACATGCTGTGAAATTAAAAATAAAAATAAATTTGAAAAAATCTAAATTGTAAGATGTCTTATTTCCTCCAAAGACAAATAACCTAAAATTGAAGGACACTTTTTTCCTTGGGTCTCAGGAGGATATTGCCAGTCTGTTAATCGTTTTTCAGTTTAACCGAATGAATAATTTAGTGGTGACATCAACACCTAAACAGTGATTTGAAAATATGAAACAAAACAAAAAGGTTTAGAAGTCAAAGCTTTGTACAAATAATAGTGTCAAGGTCTCAATTAATGATATAATTAGAAGCTGATGGGCTGGCTAGTCTGCAGTTTGTGGGTCTCTTACCATAAAAACTCAGATTTACAGTGTAGGGTAACAGAACACTAACAGAACAGCACATTTCCCAAACTCATAAGGGAATTAGCGCATCACATCGCTAACTGTCCAACTGCCCTACCACAACATAGACAACACTGACAAATGTGGAGATGGACTTTGGAGAATGATAGAAGGATTCAGACTTGGAATACTTCAAGAGTCTTGAGGTAGGCAAAGTGATGTCTGGATCTTGTGCATCTCATTCACAGATACAGCACTGATGGGAGGCTAAGACCTTCATCAGAAGCTCCACAGGCAGGTGGAGTGAGAAGTATACTGCATTCACCCCCCTGACGAGGCCCCCTGTGCTTGCTAAACCGTGTGGCCGCTCTCCGTTAACCATCTCTATGGCTGCACCCCACAAACTTCAGCAGTCATTAGCGGGCTTTCAGTAACCCTGTAGCCTGAGACGCCACTTAAATAACCTTAATCTCACGTGATTGTACCAAAATCCCTAAATGCAGCATGAATATTCTGTTAATTTTTCTGCAAATGACGCATATCGAGACACATCACTTCTGGGTGAGACAACAACAGCTTTGCATGTCACTTTAGACAATACTTCCATGAAAGTCGATAAAATATTAATATATAATATTTTATGTGTTACAAGTAGGCTCAGATTTGGTCGGATGAATATGCAAAATACGTTTTCTCAGTACAGTTCTGTGCCACAGCATTTGTTCTCTTTTTTAACTTGATGAAGGTAAAAGACATGAACTTGAGGGAGGTGTGTCTGGCTCCCCGCAGCCCCCGCTCACCCCCACTGCCCCCACCCCACCTGTGAAGCCATCCTCGCTGACACCGGCGGGTGCAGTCAGGGAACCCAGCTGGCGTCGCCCCGACAGGAGCAAACCTGCTAATTAGCTCTCCCTGCGAAGGGGCTCAGCGATGTCAAATCCCCAGCCTTCATTAAGCACATTCAGAGAAAATTGGGGAAAAGCGCAGGGGATACAGCCTTTTTCTTATTTTTTATACGTGGCACGTAAAGCAGGATCTTTTTATGTGGCGCGGGGTCGATGTACGTCTCCGACGGAAACGAAAACATTTGCAAGTAACGAAAAAAAAAAAAACACATTGGATATGATATCTGCGTCTGTAACAACGACTTGCTCCGGTGCCCCCTACTTCTGATTATCCAAAGCTTAAAATCCTGCTTGTTTCAGTAATCGCTATTTCAAACATCGGCATTATGAAACCAGGAGATGGGCCCGAATTGGTTGGATTAAGTGAATTCCGCAAGACGAAGCACTAGCGGAATGATAACTAGAAGAGCTTCGCAGCCAGAGCAAGACTCAACATAAACTTCCTGCTCACCTTGTACCCTCCTCCGCTCCACAAGTGGGCAGTTTAACAGAATGCAGTCCCACCGGGACCATAAAGTCAACTAAAATTAGCAAGGAGGACCATGCGCGAAACAGAACTACGCTTGGGCACCATGCTTTGACAGAGTTATAACATAATTATACGTCCGACTGTTACTGTACAAGATTAGTAAAACATGCCTTAGATTTCTAGTCGAAGATGTCAACAATTTGGTGGGGATAAATTTAGACTCAAGCGCCGTTAAGAATAACCAGACCGCCACTCACTGAAATAAACGTGACAAATAAAAAAATCCCACTTAGCTGCTGCACAGTTAAGTGTCAGTCTTAAATCCCCCGGGCATAAGCAGTTTACAGTAAGCGGCAGGCGCGGGCGATATGCAGGGGGCACTGGGGCATTCCCATTAAAAGATTTAATTAGTGTTTTATCCTGAGAAACCGCGCACCTTCCCCCCCGCATGAGAGCGTCTCAGCGCGGTCCGGATCCGCACCGCCGGCCCGTCTGACGCCCCTTCCTCCAGCCAATAGAAAGGCATCGGCGGCGGTGGCACCGTGATGTCTGCCCATCACGGGGAGCCGACCACACGATTAGCATTCCGCGATATCCTCTGCAGACTTCCTGACAATAAATATGTAAATTCAAACATAGCACAGGAGCTTTTTTCGCCGCTATTGTACAGTACGAGTCAAGTATCACTTAAGCATAAATGGAGTGATAGAGCACGCTTAGAAGTGCCTTTTACCGTCACAGGCGTGTTGTCTAAACCATTCCATTATCTCTGACTGCACTGAAAAGTCAATTCCGTTTCTCATCAATATTGAAACCACTGCTGTCAATCAACTTAACTTTGACACAGCAGCCTTTTAGTCTTATATGTATCGACAAGACTGCGCGTTCAGGCTATGGTAAAATCAAGCTCAGAATATGTTTTCTAATGACAAAAAACAGTGCTTTGTGTAGGTTTGCAATGTGCATAATTTGCTATGTACACTTTTATGCTGTTTTGTGATGCAGCCATAAAATACGCCGAGATTAAATTGATATTGCTATAAAGTTGTAGCTCAAAATTGTTATACCTGTGGACTGTGAATACAGTGAACAATGACTTCTTAATGTAGAGTTGAAGTAATTTATCAAATTATTCTTGTATGTAAATATAAACATTTGATGACGCGTGTGTTTGAACACCTATCTTTGAATGAGGAAGACTAAAAGCTGGCACAAAGTAACAAATTAGATTTAGGACTAAATGTATTTAAATCATCCTAATTGTTGTTCTGATACATGTTAGTGGATTTACTGTCAAAGTAACGATTGTATTATGATTAAAAGTGTTTAATGTCAAAATGGCTACAATTTATATAAATATTAATGTTATGTCCCAGTGCAGATATACAGGATGTTAATTACCTTCAGGTCCAGCAATATTGGTTGACTTTGCTGTAAATTCATCCAATATAGCTGCACATGAATTATAATAGACACTTCAAGTCTGTGTCATAAAGTGTCTTACCCTTACATGAAATAGATATACTGCTAATGGTATACAGTGACAAGTGTCATGTGAAAACATTTCATAGATGTAATTTTTTTTCCAATTGTGCAATACATTGGAAAATGTAGGAAAAGGTTAGCTCCGTTATAGAAAATACAACATTTGCAATACATGCAGGTAACAGCAAATTAGTTCTGTTATATTGAGTAATACCACATTTCAGGGTATTTTACATATATGGTACCAGTCAAACCTTGTCAAACATGCCAAGCCGCATAAAAAGGAGATGGATAGTGTCAGATCACGTGCCCTGGCCACCTGACCTAAACACAGTAGAGATGGTTTTGGTGGAATTTGACCATAGAATGAATAGTGGCCAATGAGTGCTCAGCATATATGTGGGACCTCCTTGAGGGCAGCTGGAAAGGCATCCCAGGAGGCCACCTCATGAAACTGGCATGGAGGAGACAGTAGGGTCAGCCAGTTCATGGAGCAACAGGGGTTTATGGGCCTTGCTCAAGGGTCCAAAGGTGGGATCAAGCTGCCGACCACGGGATTTGAACTGGCAACCTCCTGAGTCCCAAACCACAGAGCTACCCCCTCCACAACAAATTTCTTTTTTTTTTTAATACTTTTTTGGTTAGTGCATAATTCCCTGTATGTTATTTTATAGTCTTGGTGTCTTCCTAATTATTCTAAAATGTAGAGAATAGTACAAATAAACTTTTCTATGGGGTGGTGCATCCAAACTTTGACTAGTAACATAAAGTATTTCATGTTTCATGGATGGCAAAGTTATAAACTTACAGAAGACTACATTGCTTGTGTTCCATGTCCATTCCAAATGGTACATGCATAATTTACTCAAGCAAAACTCAATAGAAACACAAATATTTGGTGATTATATGATGACTCAGGCATGTCAGCCAAATTATAAGTATCTGGAAAATGTCTAACTAGTTTCAGAGTAATAATGTCAATCTGAACAATACTTAAGGATGATAGTTGTAAATATATTTTAATCTGACGCTATTACAAATCTTATATATCATAATATAAACACCAACAAAACCTAACTACATCAAACAAATCATCCTATCATACGATAGCTGACTTAAAAACACAATGTAACCATATCTATATACCTGCATTCAGTCATAAGTGAAAAAAAGTATTCCAAACACACTAGACAACAGTTTAATGGCAAATGATGGATTTTTAAAGTAATCTGAGGTTTTCAGAGGCACACTGCCTGATGATTGAGCTTCTTTCCAAATTTCTGCAAAGTGAGTACAGAAACACTCCTTACAGCAGAGGGACAAGCAGAAAGAGTAAACATAAATCAGAATCAAATTGAATGTGAAATTGAAATCCTGTGAACCCTGAATGTATAAGTTTTGAACCTGGGAAAACAAAGGAATATAAAAATATATATGTAAACGGTTTGTTTCACAGCAGTTTGCTATAAAGATTCAAATTTACAGGAATGAAAGGGGCTGATGCAAATGAAGGTGTGAATCGTGCTTCTGAAATACTGGTGAAACATGAAATGATTTTAAACTTCAAAAAAAATTCTCTATGAGAAAACATGAAATGAAAATTCTCTCTACAGAACTAAATTAATTCCGTGTTAAAATAGATATTCAAAAATCTAACCTGTTCGAACTTGTGACGCTTTAAATATTGTAATACTGAGATCAATATTACTGCTCATTTGTTTTTATTTATTAATGAAACTATATTTTAGTTAGCGATACTTTGAGTTCCAGTTCTGACTGGTGGAGTTTTAAATGCGAAGTGATAGGGGGAAATTGAAGAGGCAATCGCTGGCTTTAATTTTAAGTAACTGAAACAGTGAATGTCATTTTGTTATTGAATGCAGCGAAGCTGTTACTAGCTATAATTGTTTCATATCCTGTACTGTTGCATCTGTTAAGCGCTCTGACGCAATCATGCTGGGAACGGCGCTATACAATGATACATTCACTTTGTTTCTATATAGCGAAATAAAATAAGGTCTTTGCGATTAAATAATGTGACAAACATCAAATGAGCAACAGTATCACAGTAATATCCATTGATTTTATAATTAGAGCTTTGGTGTCACGCCCACATTTTACAGTTCGGCTGAATGGATTTACAATCATTGGTTTCACAGCAAATTACGCAAATATGAAATGACACTGATTACTTGTACGCGCATCTTCATTCATTTGTCGTAATTGTAACATTTAGCTAACATTAATATGAATTTTCTTTTAAAATTGTTAGGCGTTTGTCTTCTCTGAAGCCTGCGTGTTAAGACTGCGAGAAGGCTCGGTTGCTTAGGAACGCGCGTCTTCATTGTAGCTCCCGACCTTGCAGCCGTGTCCACGCTGCGCGTACTCGTTTCCAGACCTCACGAACGGGCAAGATAAGAGCATCCTAACGGAGGACAGTACCCGGAGATTAAAACAAAAATGTGGATCAAGTGAAAGTAAAAAGTATACATTTCTAAGCGAATATAAAACAATTTGGCAGCTTAAAATAGTTGCCGGAATTCTCTTGAATGTTGAATCTATTGAATTAGTAAAACAGCGCGTTTTTTATCAGAACATCAGGAATGGGGGATCTGATAGTTCGCCAAGGCAGGTGAGTCCAATCTCTAAGGCATATGGTGTCTATAGGAACAAGTACTCAAGGATACCGTATGAGTTACCACATAGACGCATGGAAATATTGTAAAATGGCATCGCGTATCTGTTATCTGTTTTAGTCTTGTTTTCCCCAGCAGCTTGTGATAAAGCGTGATTTGACTCCAAATCTCATTAGTGCTTCATTTATAGGTCATATAAATGTGTTTAAAGGCAGCGATTTAGCTTGATACATGGCAGCTGAAAGAATGGAGAAAGGACTGGAGTTAAAATATGACTGAGGCAACGTATATTATTTCGCCTTTGGGAGTTAAATCGTGTCGTTGCGCTATGAATGATGCATGTAAACCGGTATTTCCGTTGTTTACAAAACAAATATTCCCGTTTTTGCTTTTAAATTCTTACTTGACACTTGTCGTTAGATTTGCTTGTTTCAAACGTTTGCCACCAGAGGCTCGACGTGAGTAATGCAGTTATTAGACATATAGTCGTATCGTGCCGCGAAGCTCCGGTGCCTTTATGATGTCCGCGACAGTGAATTGTACCGTAAATATGAGGGCGTTAAAACGCGTCGGATGGGCTAATCCGTGGTACCTGTTTTGCCCTTGACCTGTGCAAGACGCACGTTAAATTGATTATTCTTGTACTGCTTCAAGGTGACTATTCTTAAGTTTTCTGAGTCTTCTGCTTGCCAACACAAGCTGCGTATTTTTTTTTATTTGATGGGTGGTTCGGATCTTTGCATAAAATTGCAAATCAATGCAATTACAAGCTAAAATGATGGCTACATTTTAGTTTTAATACGAAATTCGTATTGATATTTTATCTCCGTCCCTCCAATTGAGTAAATGCATACATCCTAAAATGTACGACCAACAGACGTTTTTTCTCTCCGTCGCGCGTGTTGCTCAGGGAGACTGCATCGCTAAAATTGATATATTAGAATGTCTTGCCGGTTTTATTATGCTTAATGCTTATGGTGAACCAGTGTCACTAGAAATTTTCGTGCAATCACAGTCTGCACGTTGAAAAGCCTAACACTTGTTGTAAAAGAAAATTGCACATCACAGTCTATGTTGTATGTTTGACAGCGACCCAGGGACCTAGAGCATTATGTAGTTCATTTGCTGCAATAACGACAGAGAAGCAAACAGACTCTTTTGACATTATAAAGTTAATATATTTAAATTTGCGACAAAAGAATTGCATTGTTTAAGTGTAATCGTTTTCCCCTCAAAATTTCTGGAGGTCGACGCTATCCCGGGATCCAAGCGGGTACATTGTCATTAGAAGTGGCAAAGAATTAGGCTAACAGAAAGAACTGAATGGATGGAGACGGGGCGAGGGAAAAAATGTCAGCCTTGAAGTTGTCATGGTGACTTTGTGAATAAGCAATTGTGTCACTTGAGCTCAAACATTAAAAAGAATTCTTCTTTTCACTATCAATAGGGTTGTATATAGGCTACGTTAAGGCGTTTAAATAATGTGTTTGAGATCTGTCCCTGAAAGACTTGTAACTAAACACCAGCATATACTTGCAAATTTAATTATGTATTACAGAATTCAATTGATTACGGGAACATAAAGTTCTTTCGGTGTTTTCCAGTATTTTTTTATTATGGGGGGGAGGGGGTCGGCCGCTATGCACTATCCATTGCCCAGTAGAAAATTTTACCGTAGCACGTCCGTATTTCAGATAAACATGCTAGTATAATGTTTTGTAAACGATTTTCCGCAGCTTGACTTTGCATTATTTGTTTTTCTCTTCATTCTCATTCTTTCCTTGTCTGTCGCCGGCCCATGCTGCTTTAAATCCGATTCAGTCAAGGAATAATTCCTGTTTAAACGTGCAGTATTTACGCTTTCGCTAATCTGAGGTAATAATATTCCTTGCAAAGTCTTCCTCAACCCGTTTCTTTGCTCATGGATCTAAAGTGAAATGTTTCCCGTTGCAGTTATTGATCGGCGTATATTTTCTGTTGTCTTTATGTGGCTTTGTCAATCTTTCATTGGTAAGTTGATAAATAGTCTTTTAGATGCAGGTTCTGACATTTTGTTAGGCATTAGGTATAATAACCGCTTAAGTATGTTTTAATGTGGTGTGTTCCTTCCTATAGACATTTATATGTTTACTGAACAACATAGTAGACACAGGCCTACTTAAAAATGAATAAGATTTATCATGAATGACTTCCATGTTTCCATTTTTCACCATGTAACCTGCTGTTCCCGAAATAGTATTTTAAAAATAAATCCCAACGGCTTTCTTTACAGACAGGGACCAATAATTGTATATTAGTAATCAGAAGTAGCAATATATAGATAACCCAGAAGTTTCTCTATCTAGTGATTGTCGAGGAGTGTTCAATGTATCTGTTTAAATATCGCCAATGATTTTAAATTTAAAATTGATTGAACTGTTATATGATCTTTAGTTCAATTTAAAGGTCAAATATCTAACAATGTTTGACGTTTATACTGTATACTGTCCATTCATCCATAATTGCATGAAGTCTAGCATTTTCACTGATATCATATATGATCAGTCCAGGTAAAACACCCATTTAAAATGTATCATCGTTGATGTTCGGAATGAATGTAAATACTAAATTAGTCGTTGTTGAAATCTGTAGAAGGCAACACCATTCATTAGCATGCAGAAGATGGTCATCTCTGTTAGTAAAAAGTCCTCCCATTACACAAAAGGTTTTGACCACATGTCATCTTGTTTGTGTGGGATACATTTTGCTCACAGTTTTTGTAAACAGTGGTGTATGTCTGCCAGGCAGTGTGCTGGACCATCATCCACATCACAAAAAAAAAACTAGATCACACTTAAGAAAACACAGGGGTTACCCTGGACCATCACTGAACTGTGTGCTTCATACCATCAGGTCCTCATACTGTATCACTACTACACAGTAATGTAGGTATAGTAAATTCAGTGTAAACAATGAGTAGTTTAAGACACTGTAAACAGATGGCAGTTTTAGAACTATTTTATAAATGCAATACATTCCTCCATATTGCAACCTCTTATCCTGGTGATGGCTGTTGGGTTCCTGAAGGCATCCTAGGCAGCGTAGAGCACAAGGCTGGGGTACACGGCAAAAAGGATGCAGAGTATTGCACAAGAAAACCATGTTGTGACAGAGATTTTCCATTGAAAACTAAAATTTTTGCTTCTCCATAGAATGTAAAGTAGACTTGCGAGCATGTCTGTCTTGTCTGTCACATTCTGTTCTTATAGATGTATAAGACTGGCCAAAGTATTCTAGTATGTACTACAA